CACGCCTCCTGACATAGCCCGGACTGATTGCGACGATACCAACAAGTAGTCTGTTACCTTCGTATTCATACAGTTATTTCCGCTGCAGTCGCTGGTGCGTGTCCCCATTCTTCACCAAATGTTGAAGCGGGCAAGAGACAAAAATTGGTGAAAAACGGGCTAGTGTCGAGCCAGACTCAATTCCTCCTCCTGAGACGCCCCTAGCTTCTCGAGGCCGCAGTATTAACTCACTTTTATGTAGAAGAATCTCACCTGAAGGTTCGATAGGTCCCGCTGTGGGTCCTGGCGTAGTAACGGATTCCGTGTATAAATCAGTGAAAGAGTCAGTTGAAGAAGGCATGGCGGTTGTTTCTTGTGGAGATCCCGTCGTTCCCATAGATGGCATAATCGTAGTATCCGTGAATTGCTCGCCTTCGGTCGTCTCCTGCGTAGTCCCAGTGGTGGCTGGCCCACCTGGTGTTGATACTTCTGTCGGCCTGTTTTCAACGGTTAGAGTAGTAGCTGCAGTAGTGGACTCCACTATCTCACCAGAAGTTGCAGAGCTCTCTACTGTTGACTCACCCGTAGTGGCCTCGGGGGTTGCTTCCGGGGTTGTCACAGGCACAATTGGGGAAGATGCTGGTTCCATAGTGGAGGTTTCCTCGATTATATCATCTGCGGTAGTAACGCTGGGTTCAGCAGTAACTTCCGTGGTAACAGGGTTAGCAGTGGTAACAGGCACACCTGGGGAAGATGCTGGTTCCATAGTGGAGGTTTCCTCGATTACCTCATCTGCGGTAGTAACGCTGGGTTCAGCAGTAACTTCCGTAGTTACAGGGTTTGCAGTGGTAACAGGCACAATTGGGGAAGATGCTGGTTCCATAGTGGAGGTTTCCTCGATTATATCATCTGCGGTTGTAACGCTGGCTTCATCAGTAACTTCCGTAGTAACAAGTGGTGTAGTGGTAACAGGCACACTTGGGGAAGATGCTGGTTCCATAGTGGAGGTTTCCTCGATATATCATCGCCGGTTGTAATGCTAGGTTCAGCTGTAACTTCCGTAGTAACAGGGAGAGTAGTGAGTAGTGGTGGTGCTCTCTCCAACTACTGGTGTGATTATCGGTGGGTTCACTGAATTTCCTCCTGTGGATGAACCAGAAGTGGTAGTGGAAACAGGGTTTTCAACAGTGGCTGCCCGTGAAGTGCTCACTTCAGGTTCCATCGGGGTAGTCATTGAGCTTGGGCCAGTACTACCTTCAGTGAACTCAGAGATCGTTGTGCTGGCCTCTACCAAAGGAGTTTCAGTCTCCATTTCACTTTCTGTAGTTGTTTCCTGTTGTGTTGTCATGACACCACTATTTGAAGTGGTTTCTATGGGTACCGTGCTCTGGGCTACTGTACTTTCCGTGTCAGTCATCCAGTTATCAGTTGTGATCTCCATGTCTGTGGTCGGTTCAGTACTTTGAGGTATAGCTGTCGTTGTCTCTGACACCGGTACAGAAGGGGTAACCGGTATCGAAGGGGTAAAAGGAGGTGCCGTGGACATATCTGTCCCAACTGGTGTTGTACTTTCAGGGTACTCTTCGCTGTTGTCAGTCATCATCTCCGTTGTCGAAGGCTCTTCTACTGGTATGGTGGACCTGCTACTTCCTGTGGTAGATTCGGTCTCTTCTCCACCATATTCAGACGTCGTTGACCAATCCCAAGGGGTTGTCGATGGCATTCCCTCGCCAGGAGTTGTCCTGCTACTTTCAGTGGTAGTTTCGGTCTCTTCTCCACCATATTCAGACGTCGTTGACCAGTCCCAAGGGGTCGTGGACAGCATCCCATCGCCACGGGTTGTGAACATGGTCGTGAGCGTGGAAGGCAGCGCACCTGAAAAGAGAAAATCTCCGTTACACGTCATAAATACTACGTGTACTTTTATAGGAGATGTTCTCAATTCACGATTTTACAAAATGCGAAATTCAAACATCTCCATTTCATCTGACATATTTATTCTCAATGATCAACTTATTAACCCTTTTCCATCACACATGAGACGTTGTCAACTACAATTGGAGTGTCCAGTTGTACCCATTGCGCTTCGTCGTTGCAGGTGAATGTCCGATTCAACGATGGCCCAGTGATGCCCACTGAGACGCCATTCTCATAGATTTCCACAAAACGCCTGCTCTGAAAAATGCCATTTAGTAAGTTTGTGCCTAATTGCCTAAGTAGAAATCCGAGTAGGTAAAGAACTTGACAACACTGCGTCAACCAAGTTTATCAACCCTGACTTGGTATAGTTTCAACACATAAGGAGGTATGTGGATGAATTGTTAAATAGTAACCGTGGGGTTAGAGGTTTGAGGAAGATGACAACCACCGCTCAAGTTCTTTTACCAGTAACAATGGGCCCTAGCCGCCGCCAGTCTGCAACCAGAATATCTGCTCTTGGGCATTGTTTATTACCCTGGATAAGGGTGAACAGTATTCTCCAACTGGTCGTGTTCGCAAGGATGTGATAGACCTCCAGCGGACAAGCTGAATCGAATAATGGTTCCAGCGAAGCAGAAGAGTCCCGCACAGTCGCGAAAGGAATGATAGTGTAGTTCTGAGTCGCTGAGGACGCTGGAGCATGGAAAGAGAGGTGGGCTTCAGTTCTCAACCAAATGTGGTTGCAGGCCAGCTTGCACAATTGGTGAAAAAAGGGACGCCAAAGCTCTCCTTTTGGAACGCCCCAGTCTCCGCAGCAAGAAAGACTGTGCCTTACGACAGGGAGAATCGGAAATCCTCTTTATGCGCATGCTCAGGCTTCCTCGGCGTTCTATTCTCCTTATGAGTACGAATCTAACCCGCTCGCTATTTTCTCCAAAGTTGCACACTGTGAACAATACCATAAGATCAAGCCGTAGGATACCCCAGATGTTGTGTCACAGAACCAAGTGGGAGGGAGAGGGAACCGCTGGATAAGGATAGGCGGACCATTTTTCATGAAAAGTAAGAACCCTCTTGTACGAAGGACTCAGCTCATCCCCGGATCTCAACAAAGAACGGCCCTGCCTATTATAGTTCTTTTTTCTATTCGGTATGAAATTCCAGGGAATTTAATGCAACGGGTGGTTATCATGACGCGTGATTTCCCCTTTGAGTCACTAGACGTCACTGGACGTTGTTTTGTTCTAGCACATAATGTGTTGGACTGCGAGCCAAGCCTATGTTGCTTAGGAAAAAATGCTTTCAGAATGTGCACAGCAATCAAACAGAGGAGGGATTGACCTCGATTGAAGAAACACATGCATAATCTTTATTGGCATAAAACATAGGAGAATAAAGCGTAGTCAGCACATGAACACACCATATGACAGCTGTTACTTGGTAGAGACGGTCAAGGCAATCGTAGTTTGCCGCGCCGTCGCAGGCGAAGCATAGCGCGAGCATAGCATGAAAGGCGGCAATTCGTGTGGTATGTTCCACGACGTGAAGAAAGAAACCATTCCTAACTTAGGATTTTTTTTCTTTTCAAGCTCTCTTCTACGGAGAATGAGCGTCATGAGAACACTGCATGTGCAGCTATAAACTGTCTAGTTGACGCACGTGGAGTGCGACATCGCCTACCATGCCCACGCGAATTGCGATTGTCTTGTCATGTAAAAGTTACTTGATGGACTGCAGCGAGTGGCAATGACTCATTTCACAGTCTCTCCAAGCTGTGTTTCCTATTATTATCAAGTGGTGGTGAGAATCGACGAATATTCAATTTAAAACCCACCTTTTCTTTTTCACTGCGAAGATCTAGACTCAGTACGCAAGGTAACAGAAACGGAGTGTATTCGGGTGGGCGGATCAGCTGCGGTTCAATTCTCGGCCTGGCCGATCAAGGCCACTGTTGCATCACTCGCGGAATCGAAGGTTAGCTAAGCGGCAGAATTTATGCAAATTGGCTCTGATCGTTGTACGAAATGGATACGATTCTTTGGAGAGGAAACCGACTTTCACCATTGGTTGAAATACTTGCCTGGGACAGCTCTGGTCAGGCCATTTGGTAGGTTCGCAGCTGTAGAAGCTCTGGGAGCCACTTTTGTTCTTTGAAAGCGCGTAGCAGTGAAAGTGGGAAGTTTGTGATAAGTGATAGATGATTCTCGACCAGGGCAAATCAACCATCAATCCAACTATTATCCATTTCCCGCGACCATAAACATCCCTGGGATTTTCACAGTTGCAGTTTGGTGGATGCTCTTCCGCCATCATCACTGGCGGAAGCTAGCTTGGGAAGGGGAGTTGTGCAATCTCCTCTTAGGACAGGTCACCCTCAGCCTTCAGGGCGTATACCACTGGGGCAGGGGTGGGTGATGGGAAGGTCCATGTCCATGTCCAGTAAAGTTAATTCGATCCTCCAGAATCGTTTCTCTCAACAAAATGTCTGAATAGATGCATTTTCGGATGGTGCTATGGTGCCTAACAAATTTTTGAGTGTATAGCTCAAAAAAGTTGAGGATTTCTCGAAAGGTTCCGCGCCATCGCTGAAACGAGGAACTGGTGGAATACTGATGTGTTCCACATGGGTCCCTTCATATTGAAAATAGACCTTCACATTTTTACGATAATCTCGGCAAGCGATGAATTCCCAGGAGGGGCACGACCTGACAGGAGACCTGCTACACTCCTCTTGGTGACGGTTTCCGCCCCTCTCCCCCCCCCCTTGCCCTACTCCAGAGCGGAGTATTAAGTAGCGTAGCGTAATAGCGCGTGAAAGTCTTGAAAAGGTTGAACGGCTTTTCTGCTTTTCTGGACAGCTTTTCTGGATAGCTGCAGACTGTCTTCTCAGAAGCAATCGGAATGTTCAAGAAAAGCAACATCTAGACACATACTATGACCAAGCTCATAGTGTAGTCCTGTTCGTGTAATTTAAGCTTACCTTTGTTGGCTGACAGTAGATCTCCGCAGAAAGGCACTCTTCCACACGATAGTCGACATAAGCTGCGCCTTCGGTAGTACCATTCTGAGGTTTTACGTAGAGAGGTTGAGTGCACTTCATACATGGTCTGTTTGGATCTGAAGCATCACAGTATTAAATGAGCAGCGCATACACACTCGAAGTAGTCAGAAAGTCACAGCCTAACAATTTAACCTTCGTAGTAAATAAATAACAAATGAAGGCCATAACTGCACATGTGCTAAGAAATTCTGCAAAACATAGGCAGCTTAGGCAGGATAGCGTTCTCTTTTGAGAAAGTGGCTATGTACCTATGATAACTACAGCTCGCAGAGCAACTTAAGCCACTGAAAACGAATTAAAGCAGTATGAAAGCGAAAACTTCAAAGAAAAACGATCCTCACCTCCTGGTGCCCAGGTAGTTCACCATAGCCGTTGTTGTTGTTGCTGAAATTCAAAGCATAAATGATGTAAGCACACCAAGCAGTTGCCATCAGGTTAGCGAGTGTTTTGGTCGTAGAAATGTTTGTCCAAACCATATTTGGAAAAGCTCTCGTTCATCTGCAGAGCGAGACTTGCTAACTTTTTCAGGAAGAGATTGCACCTCAAAAAGAGGTGTCAAAGCGAAGGCACCTCCTACTGTTCCACAGCCCTCTGGGCTAGAGTGTTTTCAACCCCACCTACTAGTGGGGAGAAAAAGTTCAAAGCATTACAGGCCTTAATTTTCATGAAAGTGTGAAGTTTCTTGCGCAGCTTAGTGGTCCACAAAAGGTGCCATGAAAGTTCAGGCACCTTGTGAGGTTTTGTGGTTTCCTGCAAAGAGAGCTCACCTATACAACTTCGTAATTTCACAGTAGTTCTCACTGAAAGTAACTTCTCAATGAACATGAACTGGTGAAGGGTGCTTATAACCGTGCCAATTGCCCGTACTAAGCCGAACACTGCCATGTTTTTTGTCACCACCCTCTTCCATTTTCCTCTTTCGCATGCGTTACTCAAATTGTCAAGACAGCATTTCTGTGTTGCAGTATGTGGGTAATCGAGGTCGCATATAAGCAGTTTGTTTATGCTTATGTTGACTGAAGGGTGACGAAAGACGTAGAGAAAAACTAAGCCAGGAGAACTGGTGGCTTTGTCTTTCAGCATTGGACAGAAGGCATGCAGCGAACAGCGCAAAATAGATCATCAGCTTGGAGGGGGGGGGGGGGGGGGTGGGGGGGTGGACTAGACGACTATCCGCGACGCGGATCTGCTGGTCGTATTGTAAGGCCAGGTGGCGCGGGGCAGAGTCAGAGTGAAGGAAAGCGGTCCGACCGTAGTGGTAGGCCTCTGGGGTCTTCAACCCCTACCTTCAAGTGCAGAGGCACACCTTCAAAGCAAAGGGCTCGCCTGCCATATTGGCTTCCTATTTATAGTCGCGGAAAGTGTCTGTGAATGTATGGAACTTGTCGTTCAAAAAGTGGTAGAGGTCTCTCTTCAAGAATAAACGAATGGAACGCCCTCTGCGGCTATGGGCCTCGGAATCAATGCGCGAATCGTGGCCGTATTACACTACTTGATCACAAGATTTATCAACAGTGCAGCTCATACGATAGTTACCTTGATTGTTGAGTAGGTGCTGACCTCTTCAGAGTTCAACCAATAAATTATAAAGCAGCAAAATAGCTGCTAGAAATTTGTCTATATCCCGAGGATTCTGATCGTAATGCTCACGTGGAGGCTCGTAGATGCACGATAGTGATGTGACGGCGACGTTCTCGTACCACCATTGACCGTTTTTGCACGACATCTCAACATATGGTGGCAATTCCGTGTTCGAGACATCGTTGTTGAATACCGTTTGTACTGGTCGGTAATCTGTCATCTGAAATTTCTCTTGTCGTTTTCCACCTTGGGTGTTTCGGTTACATCAACTTTGTGCAGGATTAACCGCCACCTGTTGTTGCCACCCACTTGTTTTAGAAAAGGACATGGTTCCAACTGTTTCAAAATGGAATAATGACACTAATGAGCAGCTGATGTCATGCCTACCACTGTCAGGGATTTGAAGTACTTTTTTCTACAAAATTCAGATAGAAACGAACCTGGTACGGCCGACAGAAGAACTGCACATATTTGCAGCCTGATCGGGTATAGCGATTCAATACAGAGGCTCCATCCTCATAGGGATTCTCGTTATACAGATAAACATTCAGCTCAGGGCAGTCATCACATGTTGCTAAGGATAACCGATTAAAAATTGAAATCAAGAAAAATTGCCTCAGCAAAATCATGGGCTTGAACAGACAACGAAAAAAGTGTAATTGACTCACTGCGTCCAGTGGTGGTTTCCATCATGGCTGAAAAAAGACTTTGTAGGAATTGCTCAACGATTTGATACAAGCAACACTTGAAAATGTTCCCCGAGCTGAAAGTCCTTTCTTGTACAAGTAATCTGGCGCTCACTTTTTGAGACTGTCGCACTTCCGCGGCTCCGCAGTACATAAGTGACGAGGGCAGTGTGGCCCTCATAGATGGCAGCGCTGCGCCCCTCCCTAGTTCTCCCGCCCACCAAAATTCAAAGTCGATTTCTGTGATAAATTGAGCTTCTACACCGCATCTTCGTTTTGTTTCCCACTGTTAGATGGTATTAGCATTGGATGCGCGAAGAAACGACTGATGAGCCAGAGCGACAAAATATCGCTTTGCTGACATGAAGCGGACCAGGTGCGAACATCTCGTATTGTGAGGTTGCCATGGGTTCCGCAACTGATTTTGATTTTTCTCCTTGGAGAGTCACCCAATAATCATTACTTCGCTATTGAAATCCACCAACCTGCGCCATAAAGTCTATCTTTGAGCATTTCACTCCGTTTTTATCACAGAGTGTCTCTCGCTCTTCCGTCCACCGAGAACGGTTGTGCAAGGCAAATGGACCTGCATCTGCAGTAGCTTACCACTTTCTCGGCTCGAAAGTGCACCTGAACGGGGTCGCAGGGTGGTGGTACCTGAGTGACGTCATCACCCTCCACCCGCATTATCCTCGAGGTGCGGCGTTGGTGCTAAGACCCCGCGGTGAAAAACGCACCCAGTGAACAATCAGATGTCGGAGGCAGGGCATGCCATCGTTGTGACGATCACAACGAGGGGGGGGGGGTTATTTTACCGCGAGGGAAGGAAGGGGTCGTATTTTGTCGTTGGTGGGAGAGTGGGAGAGGGACTGCCAAATATCTAAGCAACTACTATTCGCGACAGCTGATGATGATAGTTAAATCCTGACGATCTCCCCCCCCCCCACCCCGCTCGACAGCAAAATTTTGGGAAAAAATGCAGAAATTCTCCGGGAAATTTCGGAAGAACTGGTAGGACATTAGGGAAGATCTAGAAATTTTCCTGTATCACAATGGGTGTACCCCTCTCCCCCCCGCCCGATGGAAAATTCTTGGCTGAAGCTGAAAATTTTTCGCGAAAAATGGAAAAAGTGGTAGGAAGTTGGGAAAAATCTAGGCAATTTGAGGATGGGATTGGGGGGAGCGTATTTTTCAGGAAATGATCACAACGGGATGGCGTGCCCTGGTCCTAATTGATCCAAAGTACAGAAGCTGCAGTATGGCCGAACCAATTGATCCTACCGTATATAATCGGCTATCTGTGTGCATGTGTCTGTCTGTCTGTCTGTTTGTCACGAAATTCATAGCACCTAAAGAAGAACTTGGAGGGTCGGGTCATGGTGGGGATGGGTAGGGCATGGGACAATATGTAAATAGCACCCGTGACCCTCGGTAAGCCCCCCCCCCCTCAGCGGGCGCCAAAAGTCAGCGATGTCAGTGAAAAAAAATCATAACTCGGCTGCAGAGCAATCCCGAGATGGGAGAACAGTGCAGTAAAGTTAGCAAAGGGCTGACAGACCAAATAGAGGAGACACACCTGATATGGGCGGGGCATGCTAAGGATGGGCGGTGCTTTCGGTGCTACTGAAAAAGCCGTAATTCAGCGACAATGCAGCTCTGAGATGGGGAGAAAGTGGGGTTAGGTTAGCAAAGAGTTGGCCCATCAAAAGGAGGCAGGCACATTCGAAATGGGCGGGGCGTATTGAGATGGGCGGTGCTTCCCACAAAGGTCGGTAACTCGGTTCCCGAAAAGAGTTTAGAGATCGCAGAAAAGTCCATGACGAAGATGAACATCTGGCAAGAGTCCACCATATTCGGCACGCTGAGGCCCGCCCACAATGGGCGGGGCGTGCCTTTAAGCACGAGGTACCAGTTTAGAAAAAAATCGTAGTTTGGTTCTAGAGCACTACAGACGGCGCAAAAAAGTGGATTATGGTCGCCAAGTGATCACAGGTTGAGATGTGCGAGGCACTCCCGTCGTGGGCGGAGCCAAACTTAAAAATTCCCAGAGCGGTTACAGGGCACTACAGACACTCCAGTCCTCCTCTGTAATACGGCCCGGCCTTGTAGGACGCCATCTTTTCAGATAAAAGCAAAGCCGGATACTAGGTGAGTATTCAAATGTGTGGAAGAGGGTAAGCGCGGAAGAGCCGTGCGCCCGAGCAAGCTTGCCGTATCTCAGAAGGAGGAGCGCCGGCGTCGGCCGGCGCAGGCCGTCTGGTTGGAAAATAAAGCTTGTCCTTGTAGATCACTAACCATAAGACACAGCAGTCTATGCCTCTAGAACCATGAACTTTAGGAAAAACTTCCAAGTGCACACTCACCACTAGTTTCTCCCTCCCAGTCGGTGATCATCGAGCTCTCTGCTGTTTCCATCTCGGTTGTTTCTACCATTCCGTCGCTGAAGCCTGTAGTTTCGATGATCGGCATGCTAGTGGTTCCTTCCGACATGTCTCTGGTCGCCACACTCTCACTCATTCCTGAATCAGTAGTTCCCTCCGGCATGTCAGTGGTTTCGGGATTCTCTACAGGCTCCGTGGTTTCTTCCGCTGCTTGTGCTGTTGTAGGTTCATCATCTATCACAGTACTAGGTTCAGCTGGCATTGTACTCATCGAGTCCGTGCTATCACTCATTTCTGTAGTATCGTCAATGGGTTCCTCGGTCTGTGCGGTCGTTTCCATCCTAGCTGTTGTTTCTTCAGCAGGTGGAGGCATCGTTTCGGTAGGCATCGTTCCCATCGGTTCAGTGCTATCACTCAGGTCCGTAACAGTTGTCATTTCTTCCCAAGCAGTCGTTGAAGGTTGTGAGCTCTCAGTGCTGGGACCAGTCGTGGTTTCTGGAGTCTGGACTCTTGTTGTCTCTAGAACTAGACGAGCTCCTGTCGGGTATTCTAGTTGTTGGCGTTGACGTTGTTAGAATTGTTGCTGAAATCAGAATTATTAGAAACAAGAGGTTATAGAAGAGAAATGGTGGGTTTGCAAGTCCCTAGAGACGGTGAAATTTGTGGGAGGCGGAAGTTCGATTCAAAAAAAGAGAATGGACGTTCGTAACTGAGCGTTATTCGCACTTAATTAAAGAGAGAATACACCTGAACTCTGCTCTATCTTATTTCTGCTTAGAATGCCTTGACCCATTGCCTCTGCGTTCGCCGGTAGACTAATTCTTTGTATTTTGTAATAAGTTTTTGTATCGGTAAATACATATGGATCTTAACCAATGAAGTAAGGAGGCGCAGAATGAGTTCATCCGCAGCAATTTTTAGCTTCCGCTGTATTTTACGTATACCGGCCGCTATTGGTAGAAAAGGCAGCAAAGTGTGGGCTCTTTTCACGCCTCCTGACACCGCCCTATCGAATTGCCACGCCATCAGTCAAAACGTGTAACGGCGGTCCGCGGAGGGTTAATGGCACATACTACAGCTGAATGGGCGGAGAAATGGGCCGAGAATTGCGACTATTGCGCATTCGTCTTTACTAGGACTTTGTTCTGATAGAGAACAGTGTGGAATGCGCAGCTGTTACGAGCCTTAGCCCATTTTTCTTTCCATCCAGTCATCGCGAAATAACAATGCAAGATTTCAAAAAGTAGGTTTCCATTTGATTTGGTCTGATAGAGGATAGAGTTAGTGCCCACTCTCAACAGGCACGAAAATCGTTAATACTCACTAAGGGATACGGTAGCTGGAGCTGTAGTGGTAGTGGGCACCATCGACGTTGATGCTGAAATTGCACGGAATATGTGGGGAAAATAAATAGATGGTAAAAGCATTCAATTAACAAACTTTGCTGCGATGGTGATGTAGCAGTTGGCTGGGCAGCTGGTTGTTTAGTGGTGTCAAGTCCACAGAACGAAACCTCAGAATAAGTGCCGCTGTAACGAGAAGAAAATTGGTCCATGGAAAGCGTGTAATACATTGAAAAGCTTTAAGTCATATTTTATGCTAACAGAAGGATAAAGATAATCAAGTCTTCGGCGCTTTTTTGTGGATTCGCCACGCATTCTGCTTCCACTCAAATCGTAGAGGCCTATTGAATGGCGATACAATGACTTGTAAGCTCTATGTGGAAGTCCGCGTCCCCAGACTCTGATACCAATTTGCCGAAGGAAAGAAGGCTTGGTTGGCTTGGATGGGAGCCAATCCGAGATTTGACGCCTCACCGTTATCGGGGTGATCAGGCCTCTTGCCCCTACCACCTCCGCTTCATGTTGCCGAGAAGAACGAATATGAGAGCAAAGGATACATAATCGACGCCGCTGCAGGGTCAACTATTTGTATGTGGCTCTTTAACCTTGACGTTCCAGAATCCTTATCTTCAGGAACCCCTCTACTTGTTCTTTAACCACTCTTCTACCATGTGCAGCCTACGTCTCGCTTCAGGCCATGTAGCACTAAAAGCAGCTCGCGCTACTTATTTGAGAGTAACAAAGGCTAGCAGTTTTCGCCAGTACCTGCTGCCATCTTCAATCGTAGTCTGGAGCTTCTTTTCGGTGTCCTCCACCGGTGTAGGATCCAGAGCGTAGAGTATGCTCTTCCATACCTTCTCACAAGTTCGCTTAGGAAAACGCTAGGGTTAGCAGAAAGCAAAGGAGCTCGGGGTAGATACTCTCGTGTACCCGGGAAGTGGCGAGCCAATGGTAGTTCGTGGGCGTCGCGTGCAACGTCGGGCTGGCACATTATTTATATTATGTATCTA